AATTTATCGCAATATAAGTTACTTGAGTCGTCGGTGTTGTCCCGCGATTATGTAGTAGCTCGGATCAAGTTATCTCCTCGTGGGAGTTGTCTCGTCGTGGGGTAATAGAGTTGATCGAGTTATCTCCTCGTGGGAGTTGTCTCGCGATAATGTAGTAGCACGGAGCTAGTATTCTCCTCGTGGGAGTTATTATTTATCGACATTGTCAATATTTTGACGCGTTGCTTGTATGTGTTTCATATATCCTTGTGCGTGATGTACTTGAGGAGGGGATCAGGCTCTGAAGATTTTTTTATGGGGATCGTGCCCCTTGTTAGACCTCGTGGGTTGTAAGTATGTTTGGACCGTGGCCACGTTTTAATGAAGGACCCATCGAAAACAAGTAGACAAAATTTTGAGTAATCAATTTGGCCAGGCTATATAGATTCTCATAATATCTCTAAGTGTTTCTAGGGTTGTAATCGTGCTAACTTGAGCTTGCGATTATATAGTGAATTCCGGACGAGTTGTCTCCTCGTGGGAGTTTTCTTGCAGCGAAGTTGTTGGAGCACTAGATGACGCACGACTGAGGAGCGTGCGCATTGAGGTTGCTCTAAGCGAGTTGTCTCCTCGTGGGAGTTGTCTCGCAGCGAGTCTTATTATCGAGCGTGGTGGCTGCACTTGTGAGTCGCATTGCAACGGGTTCGTAGTGCCGAGCGAGTTGTCTCCTCGTGGGAGTTCTCTCGCTGCGGGTTCGTAGAACCGAGGGAGTTGAGTCCTCGTGGGATTTGCCTCGCAAGGGGTTGTAGGACCGAGCGAGTTGTCTCGCTGCGGTTCGTCGGACCGAGCGATTTGTCTCCTCGTGGGAGTTGTCTCGCTGCGGTTGTAGGACCGAGCGAGTTTGCTCCACATAGGAGTTGTCTCGCAAGGGTTGTAGGACGGAGCGAGTTCTCTCCTCGTTGGAGTTATCTCGATGTGGTTTCGTAGACCTGAGGGAGTTGTCTCCTCGAGGGAGTTGCCTCGCAACGGGTGTGTAGGGCCGAGCGAGTTTGCTCCTCGTGGGAGTCTCGCAAGCACCCCACTCTCGATTCGATGTGGGAGACAAGTCGAAAAGGGTACCGAATCGTGTCGGGAGTAGATCGGTGTTGTAGTATTCCGTTAATCGTTGGCGTGGCGTGGAGAAATAAATTTTTTATTCATCCATTCGAGAGCGCGCCCATTTCAACATGGCCCCCACATCGACTCGAGAGTGGGGGGCTTAATGATATGCCTAATTGGGCTAACCCAATGGGCTTATAATTTATTAATATATTGGGCCACGAGCCCAATATTGAACACCACTATCATCGAGGCCCAATCACCTTCAAATAAGGTTTGAGCCCAACAATCTCGACTAAGCTATAAATAAAGGTTTGAACTCATTCCTTAAGGTACGTCCTATTAACTGAGCAATAATACAAAATGTATATTCTCTGGACTATTTCTATGATCAGCACGTCTGACTTGAGCGTCGGAGGGGTTTCCGCCGGATCAATCCCCGACCTAGTTCACATGTTCTATGATCGCAGGTATCTCAAGGTCATCAAGCTCGCGAGCCAGTGATCCACTCTCCTCTTCCAGCTCATCCTACTTCAACTATCTAAGGTGATCTATCTTTAGCATCATCACGCTCCTTATTGGGGTTTCAAATCGTTGAAAAGCACGATAAATATATGGGCTTGCCGGCCTCTATAGGAAAGGCAAGGAAGGATATATTTCGATACCTACGAAACAGAGTATGGAGAAGAATTAAGGGGTGGAGTGCTAAGATGTTATCGAAAGCCGAGAAGGAAATTTTAATTAAATCTGTTCTCCAAGTGATTCCCACATATGTTATGTCATCTTTTTTTCTCCCTAGCGGATTGATTAACGAAATTGAGTATGTCATTCGTCACTTCTGGTGGAGAAATGGGAAGAGTAAAGTTATGCACTGGTCAAAATGGAACGATTTATGCCGATCGAAGGAAATTTTTTTGGTCGGCCGGTCAACTTCCGTTGACCGGCGGGTGTCCAGCGTTGACTTTTTTTTTATAATTTTGTTTTTTCTTGAAAAAAATATTTTAATCAATAATACTGTCTTGGCTGCTAAATAACTGTCTCCGCAGTTATTTAACTGTCGGAGACAGTAATTTAACTGTTAATTGACTCTTTTGTTTTTTTTTTTCTTCAAAAATATTTTAATTAATATTACTGTATTCGTTGCTAAATTACTGTCTCCAGTCGTTATTTAACCGTTGGAGACAGTAATTTAACTGTTAATTGACTTTTTTATTCTTAAAAAAATATTTTTAATTAATATTACAGTATTCGTTGCTAAATTACTGTCTCCGGCAGTTATTTAACTGTCGGAGACAGTAATTTAACTGTTAATTGACTTTTTTTTTCCTTAAAAAAAATTATTTTAATTAATATAGTAGCCTTGGATGTTTAATTACTGTCTCCAACAGTAATTTAACTGTCTTAGACAATAATATTAATAATATTACTGTTCGGAAAAATAATATTCATAATATTATTGTCCCCAACAGTAATATTATTGTCTGAGACAATTTTTTAGTAGCCAAGACAGTAATATTATGAAGAAATATTTCTTCCTTCTTTGTTTTTTTTCTTTTCTTTTTCTTTTATTCTTTATGAAGAAATATTATAGAGAAGGAAAAAAAATTGATCTTTTTACATTATGAAATGATTTGTTGGGGAAAGAATTAAAGAGGACAACAAGTATCCCCTCCCCCTAAAAAAAAAAAAAAAATCAGAAATCCAAAACCCTAGCCTAAATTCGCATTGTGTCTTTCGTATGTAGAACATTCCCATCGTTTGTTGTTAGCAAAATCGTTTGTAGGTTGGTTTAACTTCGTTTGTTGTTTGAAGAATTGCATTCGGTGTTGAGATTCTATTCATCTAGTTTACAATTCGTAAGGTATGTCTTAAGTTACATTCTTACAAACACTTTATGTAATATTTTTGCTTTTTGCAACGTGTTTCGTAAACAATTTTTTTGTTAATGTTTTTAATGATTTTGAATTTTTTTTTTCATTTTAATGTTTGCATTCGGCGAAATCATAGGTAGTTTATTGCTTGCAATTCAATAATGCAAGTTCTGATGGTTTTTTTTTTTACAGTTTGATGTTTGCATTTGGCGAAGTTATAGGTATTTTTTGTTTGCAATTCAATAATGCAAATTCTGGAAAAAAAATATCAGTTTGCTGTTTGCATTTGGCGAAATCATATGTATTTTGTCGTTTGCAATTCAATAATAGAAATTCTAATTTTAAGTTTGCTATTTGTAGTTCACAAAGTTATATGTATTTTAGAGTATGAGTTTATAAAATAAATAGCATGAATTAATTTAATTTTTTAGTTAATATTTAGAAGAGAGATGTTTGGGAATTTTTTTTTAATAGGGAGATTTTGGATTTGATTTGATTTGACTTAAGGATATTTTTGCCACAATAAATATTCTTAATTTATTAAAATATTAAGATTTTGGCTTGGATCTATATACATAAATTATAATATAGAGAGACCTATAGCAAATTGCCTGAATGTTTAAATGAATTTGCAAATGTTAAATAGAAAACAACTTAAATACATACCAAAATACAAATGTCAACTAAGTAATTGACAAATGTCTAGACATCATCAAGTGAGTGTCAACTAAGGAATTATATATGAGCAAATAACATAAGCAATCTGACATATGTCCCGTTCATTGAGTCTATAGTTCATCTTTTTATATTATATATAGTGTTGAATTTGAATGCCTATCAAAGTCCACTCATCTGTTGAGACAGACTACATGTTACGACATTAGGTGACGTAACAGAATTGTTGTGTTGTCACAGGAATAAATCTACGAAAAGCAGAATAAAGAACACAACAATTTAATGTGGTTCGGATACAAACGTATCCTACATCCACGAGGACTTGCAAAACTAGTTCAGATTTATGTGTACATTAATAGGACTTAATAAAACACTAAAGACTCCCTCTTTATGTGATACGCCGTTCTTGCACACGACTCGAACTTGTTGATAATCAAAGCAATTCCTCCTCCGCACTCTTGGACTTCCTCCGATGTTGAACTTCCTTCAAACGGCGGATCGACCTCTCCCGAGATCTTTTAAGCACTTCTCCCGAAACGCCGATCTTCTTTATGGCCTGGTAGAAGAAACCTGTTCTGTTGCCACACCTGCCGTGCAGACAGGGCTGCAGCACGGGCTGCACCCTTCAAAGCCTTTATGCTGGGATTTTTCTTATTAAAGCTTCATAGGACTCATATGAGGTTGAGGGCCTTATATAGGCACGAAATCCACCACCCTAAACCTAACTTGAGCCCTAAGAAATCAATTAACTAGGTAATAGAATCCTAGTCGATTTCTACTTCTATTCTAGATAAATACAAAAGATACCTAACTAGAATACTATACATGGAAATAAATCTAAGTCCTAATAACAATATTACAAAAATAGGACTCTAATTAATTCCAAAATAAACATGGAAAACAAATCTTTGCCAATCTTTAATTTCCACGTATGGTGGATTTCTTCAATCTTCACAAACGGAAATTTGGTGCCAACATATAGATTGATTGACTTTAGACTTTTCGAAAAAGAAAATCAATGTTAGGGAAAATTTGTAAAATTATTAAAATACTGATACAAAAATAGAAATATATATTTGGAGGCCTAAGCAATTGCTGTTAACTGCCTAGAAGAAAAGACAACATCTGGTTGAATGTAGAACAAATATAGGAGATATTGTTTGTAGTAATGAAGACATTAGTGTCTTAAAGTATGCACATACTCATATTTTTTCGGCGAAATTAAGGATTGACTTTTCCCAATTCTTGAATGTTTTCCTTACAACTCATATAAGTATCAGCACTCTTTAACCACAAAAAGTTAAAAAAGAAAAGAAAAAAGAAAAAAAAACACCACTCTTACGGTCACACCGAATTATATAACTTGTAAACTTTCTTGATTAATCAGTTAAGTTATCCAACCCCATTTCATTTCCTCATTCAGATTTCACAAACATTAATTAACAACTGAGGTACATATATAATATATACGTTTATTGCAGGAATTGTTAATATATATAAAAAAGGGGAGTAAATTAAACATGAGTGGGAAGAATGGATTGCCGAAAATTCAGACAGATAAGAAGGCGGCCGACGAGAATATAATATGCCACGATGACAGTGCGAAGCCGGTGAAAGCTCAGACAGTAGATGAATTGCATTCACTTCAGGTTAAAAAATCGGCCCCCACCACTCCCACAGTCGGTGTTTTGGGCTTATTCGCCCCTTCCCCCGCCCGGCCGGATGAACAGATTCAGAAACAACAGCTCCAATCCATTAGGTACCATAAACATATTAATAATAATAACATCTTCTATTTACGTACGGATAGACACATGCATGCACGTTTATTTATATATTAATTAATATGTGTACGTCCACGGAAATCTGGATGGAATTTTCGAATTTCGCTGATTCTGATTGAGAAACAAAAACTGACTTTTGAAAAAAAACACGAATTCTTGTGTTTTGTATTTTTTTTTTTGGTTAGGAACAAAAATTATATTAAAGTATACATCCATATTTATTCCGATATATGCATGCGATCGGTTTTCACTTTATTATGAATTAATATACGAAATTGGCATCATGTAAAAACAGTGCATCATTGGCATCGCTGACGAGGGAAACGGGGCCGAAGTTGGTGAAGGGAGATCCGGGATCAAGGAGTGAGAAATCAGCACCTGTGAGCCACAAGACAGCTGATGTCACTCCTGCTCCTAACAATAGTGACAGCGCCCTTAAGTTCACTCACATTCTCTATAACCTCTCTCCCCCTGGTAATTACATATTCATTCACTCTTCTATTCCCTATAATAAAATTTATGTGTACACATGATCCATCATGCATGAATATAAATGATATGTAGAACTTTACGAACAAGCCATAAAATACGAGAAGGGATCTTTCATCACATCGACTGGAGCAATGGCGACCCTATCGGGGGCCAAAACGGGGCGATCCCCGAAAGACAAGCGCGTCGTCAAAGGTGAAAACAATGGGGATGATCTTTGGTGGGGAAAGTAAGTGTTTATTTATATATCTTCAATCATATATATTCTTCTCCAGAAATAAATTATTATTCAACTGTGTTTTAATTTGATGATTCTGATAGGGGTTCACCCAATATCGAAATGGACGAGCACACTTTCATGGTTAATAGAGAAAGAGCTGTGGATTATTTATGCTCTTTAGAAAAGGTATGTTGGGGGGCCGAGACCCCCTAACTCTATGCTGGCTCCGCCACTGATGATTAGTAAACAATTTTTTCATTAATCAATAATCTAGCTTAAATAGTAAAAATTAGTAAAATAAATTAAGTATTTGTTGATCAGGTTTACGTGAACGATCAATTCCTGAACTGGGATCCAGAGCATCGCATCAAAGTTAGAATCGTATCCGCAAGGGCCTACCATTCTCTGTTTATGCACAACATGTGAGTAAACGAATAAAATTCATTAATTATATATATATTTTGGACAATGTAACCATATATATTAATAAAATTGGACACAGGTGCATCCGACCAACTCCAGAAGAGCTAGAGAACTTTGGTAGTCCGGATTTCACAATATACAACGCGGGAATGTTCCCATGCAATCGATACACGCATTACATGACATCATCGACAAGCATAGACATAAATCTTGGAAGAAGGGAAATGGTGATATTGGGCACACAATATGCAGGTGAAATGAAGAAAGGTCTTTTCAGTCTTATGCATTATCTAATGCCTAAGCGCCAAATCCTCTCCTTACACTCCGGTTCCAATATGGGCAAAAACGGAGATGTCGCCCTCTTCTTTGGTTTATCTGGTATTGTACTATTTACAAATACTACACATCTCTTTAATTATATTTATATCTCAGGGGGATGGCCGTAATTACCCTTATTTTTTTCGTATTCCTTTTTTTTCTTTTTTTTTATTAAGGTACGGGGAAGACAACACTATCTACGGATCAAAACAGGTACTTGATTGGAGATGACGAGCATTGCTGGAGCGACAATGGTGTATCCAACATTGAGGGTGGTTGCTATGCCAAGTGCATTGACTTGTCTAGAGAGAAGGAGCCTGATATTTGGAATGCAATTAAATTTGGATCTGGTATATATATATATAATTCTTCCATATTCTAGTGATGCATGTAAATACCGTATATAATAATTGGTTTATATTCACCGATTCTTTCGTTCTGTTTCAGTACTGGAAAATGTTGTGTTTGAAGAGCACACTCGATTAGTGGACTACACGGACAAATCTGTGACAGGTATATACATGAATTTCATTATGCAAAGACAAATAATCCTTTTTCTCGAGGCATGTTAATCATCTCTGTATCGTTCCAGTTTTCTCTATTTTTTTGGGAATAAATTGAAGAAAAATTAAGCAATCATGGTTAGTAAAAGAGAATTACCTTTTATTGTTGTTTTAGTTTTAAGTTTTTGTGTGATGGTTGCAGAAAACACACGAGCAGCGTATCCGATAGAATACATTCCAAATGCAAAGATACCGTGTGTGGGGCCGCATCCGAAAAATGTGATTCTACTGGCATGCGATGCATTTGGTGTGCTTCCCCCTGTTAGCAAGCTAACCATGGCCCAGACCATGTATCACTTCATAAGCGGATATACTGCCCTCGTAAATGCAATCCAATCCCCTCTTTTTTTTTTCTTCTTTTTTTGATAGAAGTATACTTATGCATGTAATAAATGAATGTGTGTACGTAGGTTGCTGGAACAGAGGATGGAATAAAGGAGCCTACAGCAACATTTTCTGCATGCTTTGGTGCGGCATTTATTATGTTCCACCCGACCAAGTACGCTGCAATGTTGGCCGATAAAATGCAGAAACACGGAGCCACTGGATGGCTAGTTAACACCGGCTGGTCCGGTGGAAGGTACGTCAATATAGTTCTCAAACTTTTCATTGCATTATTTTATATATACATATATAATAGGTTTTATATTCCGATTTCCAAAATTATGATCCTCCATAAACTTACACAATCTAAATCGGGATCATTTTTATTAAAAAAATAAACAGAAAAAGAAAAGAGAAAAAAAGAAAAAGCAAATCGTCTGGAAAAGGTGATAATACTCTTTCTATATTGAAATTAAGTGTCGTTTAAGGTTGATGAACACTAATTAAGAAAGTTGTTAAATAGTTTGATTTCCTAGGACAATGTTATTATTTGACAAACTTACCCTTTTATATGATTTATCATTTTCTCTTTATATCACACTTCATTGATAACAGAGTAAACTTCAAAGAAAAAATTGTGGTGCCTTGAAATTATGAAGTGATAGTTCTTAATATTGGAAAAAAAACAAATCATAAAACACGAGGTGTCTCCCATGTTATACGTACAGCTATGGATCGGGGAGCCGCATTAAGTTAGCCTACACTCGGAAAGTAATCGACGCGATACACTCGGGTTCGCTCTTGCAAGCAAACTATACAAAGACAAAAGTATTTGGGCTTGAGATTCCAAATGAAGTTGAGGGTGTGCCTTCAGAAATCTTAGATCCCGTTAACACGGTATATACATACATCTTGTTTCATGTGTGTGTGTGTCTATATATACATATATATATATAGATTAGTTGTAATAATTGTTTAATTCCTAGTTCATTAATTGTACGTTGGATTATTTATTGCAGTGGTCGGACAAGGATGCATACAATGAGACACTGCTAAAGCTGGGAGGTCTATTTAAGAAGAATTTTGAGGTATTTCTTGACTACAAAATTGGAGCTGACAACAATCTCACTCAGGACATCCTCGCTGCTGGACCCAATTTCTAATTCTTTCGCTTCAAACATAAATAAAGAGAGGCTAGTATATATTTTTTTTAATTTTGTTTCCTTTATCATTTTCCCTAGTAATTTCTCTCGGTTGGTAATAGCGATTGATTAATAATTCCTCAGTTTCCCCTTTTGTATTTTATTTTTATGTTTCCGGCAGGTCAGCCGTCGTTGATCGCCGGTCTCCACTATTGTTTTGTTTTTTTAAACATTTATTTTTTAAACTATTTTCAGTCATATTATTGTGTTTGTTGTAAAATGGCCTATTTATCTAGCTCTTTGATTTGTGTTTGTGGAAATACATAAGAATGTAAATAACAAGACAAAGAGAGAAAGAGAGAATGCAAAGAACAAGAATCCGTAGAGAGAAAATTGTGGGATACGTGGGGAGGGAGTGTTTCTCATTTATATAGGTGGTAGCCACCGGGAAGTTACAAAGGAGTTACATGTGGAAGTTACGTAGAAGTTACATCGCCACTAACACCATATATAGATATCGGAAGTTAATAAATTAGTGGGAAGTTGAAAACCATCAAGTGGTTATGTTAGGAAATCACACATTCCATACTATTTACAACACTCCCCCTTGGGTTCCTATCAAACCACTATTGTGTTTTTTGTGTTGCCTCGTTAAAACCTTCCGAGTCATAAAACCCATTGGGAAAAAACAATCTCGGTTAGGAAAAAGAGTACAACACGCAATCTTTTCAATCAACAAATGTTGTCTTATTAAAACCTTGTCGAGTAACTAAAACCCTATGGGAAAAATAAACCTCGCACGAAGGAAAAAGAGTACAACAGGGCACTCGGGTATCTTCTGGATACTGAGTACCTACAGGGTACTCCCCCTCAAGTTAACTCCCCCTGATGTCTACAAGGGAGCGAGCTTGTATAATCTACGCAAGTCAGCATCCTTAACATACTTTTCCAAAGTGACTTCAGGCGAAAACTTAGTGAATAAGTCAGCGTAGTTATCATGTTTCATGATCTATTGAATCATTATTGTTTGAGCTCTTATTATTGTTGATTGAAGAAAACCTCATAACTATGTTCTTGGAGTTGTCACATTTAATGAAGCTCGTCTTCATTTTCTCAATGCAGTTAAATACAATCTCTTAGGATCTTTTGTGGTAGCCAATTCACAAAAATCTCGAACATGCCTAATCATGGCTTCAGGCCATGTGCATTCACTCACTATCTCGTGAAGCAAACATCATGCATGATTTGACCTAGTGACAACTAAGGTACATTTCATAGAACCCCAAGACATAGCTGTTTTCCCAATACTAAACCATAGATTGGAAATGATCTTTATGTGGATATGACTTCTAGTCAATGCCAATATAAATCACAAGTTTTCGCATCATTCATTGATGTATAGGGGTTTCGGTAAGGTGAGATAAGTCTACCTAATAAATTTACCGAAAAAGCTAAATCATATCGAGTACATGGAGTTAAGCATAATAATGCATATATTGCATTTATATATGGCACTTCTGGTGCTAACACTTCCTCGTCCTTCTCCATGGGATGGAATGAATCATTGGACCTATTCCACTTTCCAACTCCCATAGGTGTTACTCGATAATATATCTTTATCCATAACATCTTCTCGATGTAATTCGATTGATGGACATAAATATAATTGACATGATAAATTTTAAGTTGGTAGTGACAACAAATTAGTCTCATTTAGATCTTTGATCTTGAACTCAAATTTTCAACAATTGAGTTTTTCTTACTTGACTTCAAGTCTAAATCAAGTTTATGTCCTTTATATAAATTGTAGTAATAGGAACAATCAAAACCAGTTATTGTTCACATATTCTCTTCCGAGCAATTGTTCACTTAGGCAATTGTCCTATATTTTTCTGGAATATTTCTAGTCATAATTAAAGTGAACGTCTCAGCCCAACTGAGTTTATGTTCCGTGATCTGGAACTAATTGCTTCGGGAAATCGAAGTCCTTCTAGAACTTTCATATAAATACTTGTATCTAGATTCTCAGTAGATACTTTGTGACCACGTATTTAATAACATTTACCATAAAAGAGTATACCTCTTTAAAATCAATCTCAGGATGCTGAGGAATTCTTGAATTATGAGATGAGTCTTCGAGCTCCCAATCTCATTTGTCCATAAATCATTATACCATGAGATGAGTCTTCTGGCTCCAAATCTCGTTCGAGCTATGAGATGAGTCTTCTGGCTCCCAATAATCTAATTTAAGCTATGAGATGAATCTTCAGGTTCCCAATCTCATTTGAGCTATGAGATGAATCTTCTGGTTCCCAATCTCATTTCATTGATTGAGCTATGAGATGAGTCTCCCGGCTCCCAATCTCATTTAAGCTATCAGATGAATCTTCTAGTTCCCAATTTCATTTGAGCTATGAGATGAATCTTCTAGTTCACAATCTCATTTCATTCCTTGAGCTATGAGATGAGTCTCCTGGCTCCCAATCTCGTTTAAGCTATGAGATGAATCTTCTGGTTCCCAATCTCATTTGAGCTATGAGATGAATCTTCTGGTTCCCAATCTCATTTCATTCCTTTGTGAGTACTCACTTATATTCCATGGGTGAAATTCAAGGAGTTGTAGGAACTACTGGTCTCTACACTCTTCATTTTATCAAGGAATCAAATTCAGCTCGTATTGTTTATTTTCTCATTTCGGCGGACCATCCCTTTGTTTACACTTATTTGATCAAGGTTATATATCATCACCCAATAAAAAGTTCAGTAGTTATTGTGTAAGGAAATTTGTCATCGATGATCATTTCAGCCTGATACAACATCTCATTTGCATGAATAACTAACTGAGATTTTCCTATTCTCGGGAATGGATATTGATGTCGAGGCGTCCCCCAACTTCGTCTCCTAGACGAATCCATATTCTAGAATTGTTTTATGAGATGGATCAGGTGGGATCCCATTGGTACTTGTGCTAACCGGATTCGATGTTGGGCATTATTCTCTTCTGGAGATGAGAATCCTTTGATCCCATTGCTCTCCCCCTCTTCTAGGCAGGGAGGCAAGATTGGTTAGCAGGGATTGATGGCCTACCCATATTTTATCCTTCTAGGACATCTGTCATTGCTGGCTTATTTGAGATCTCGTCACTTTTTCAAATCAGAGAATAAGTCTGGCATTATTCGTTCTACACGACTTCATGTTGTTCTTTAGGAACATTAGTATGGACGTTCTTTGCAGATTTCTAAGTCGTCGCATACGACTTGACGCCGTTCTTCGGGAACGTTACGATGCACATTACTTGCAAATCTATATTATCATCCCACACGACTTCACGTCGTTCTGCAGGAACGTTAGTATGGATGATCTATTAATCTATGTATCAATTCTCTGATGTAGCGGATCTTGATGAGACACTGTGGGGTCGTCCCACACGATTTCACGCCGTTCTTCAGGAAAGGTAGTGCGGACGTTCTTTCCTCCCCCTAACGCCGGAAGACAGTCTCATCAAAGTGATAGTCCGCAATTTGAGCGGGTAAGAGATCGCATGTCTAAGGTTCTAAATTTTAGTTGAAGATGGTGATACATAGTCCACATATATCTCATTGGATTACCTCCAAGAAATGTATTGAATCATTACATGTATGTGCGTATGTTGACATATAATCAAATTACTTAACTTCGAGCAATCGACAACTTATGCCTCTGGCATACAAATTGTTGTTCTATATAACCGTGTTTGAAAATTCCTCTAATTTTCCCAATGTACGCTTTTGGCCGTACACATTAGAGATGGTGCACATATACTCGATTTCTTGTCTTCAATGGTTTCAACAAAATAACCATTAGCTCAAATATCTTTAAAGTTTAACAACGTTCTATTGGAACGTGGAGAAAAATGAGCTACTTTAATGGGCAAAATTGTGCCATAGATACATAATTTGGACATTATCATAACCATCTATCAAAACTACATGTGCCTCATTTAGTTATCAAAGAGGTCTTGCTACAAATAGACATGAAATTAATTAAGTACAACATATCTCTCAGGATAGTATGTGTTGTTGCACTATCTGCCAGACATTTATCCCCACATGTCATGTCTATAGAGTTATATAAATCTAATCATATATATTCAGTCCTTCAGGTACTAAATAAATTCATCAAGCAAACACCACTGAATACCATAATAATTAACTTAGAGCATAAATATCTGGTCTAGAGCATAAACTAGACATAATCAAAATATGAACATGGTTCCTAACATGAGCATATGAAGTAAGATGATTGAAATTCAATAAAATAATAAACCCGAGTAATAAAATAAACATAATTCATGAAATCAACAGTTCAATCATATCCCAACATGGGTTATTTGGTCAGATGTGCCCAAGTATGGAAGCTGAGCGATGGACTATATATTGAAAAAAAATTACCTTTACTAACTCAGTCTATGCTGGTGCATTATTATTTGCATCTCCAGCCCCAACGTTCCTCGCACTTCAGGTGCGCGACCAATTCTTAGATCCACCATATATAAAACATATATCTATGTTCTGATTTTGAGCTCTATTCAGATTTTAAAATTCATATACAAATCGTTTATGAATTCACTTGTTCCTTGCTTCCGGCAAGTATATTATCTTTTGGTAATCAAAATGACTAGTCAGGTTATCCCATTATTTATGGGAACCCATCGTTTGATGAATAGTCCAGGCGAAGGATATCATCTAATTATCTCGTAATCAGAACATAGTCTCAGCCTTGTGGGCTTTACCTATCCTCGAAAACAATCATTCTCAATTGGCCACTAAGCGTATGGATCTTAACATCCATTCTCCAACTAATATAACTTTCACCAGATACATCAAGTTGGGTAAACTTGAGTTTGCTCATGTGTTTTATCTCAAATCAAATACAATAAGGAGTATTATTGTTTTATGGGAATGTAACCTCCATAAACAATTTCATGAATATTTTGCACATATTAGAACTTCCGGTCTAATAATTTATACACCACATGTTCATACACATTCATGGATTACATACGATAAACCATAACGACGAACGAAATATTGTTTCCCATTTTCATATCACAAAATTACATATGGCAGATATGGATCAATTGAATAGAATTCTCCATTAGAGATAGACCAAAATCTTCATGCAATTAAGACTTTGTAAATTGTCAAATATATAAAATATAACATGCTAAATAATATAAACAATATATAGCATGTACAATCTCATATAAATTCCACGAACTAATTCTGAAA